GGTGTAAGGTACTATAAATATACAAAGGATTATCATAGCTATGCCCTTCCTGATTTCAGAGTGACAGTGCTTTGTTGTTTGTGTGGTTTTGGGCTGGAGCTCTGGCTCTGAACCCACCCTCCGCCCTAAGCTTCCGAGTTCAAGTCTGAATGTCTACACATCTATTTTTAGCACCCCAGCGTTAGCCAGTAGACCCGGGCTCTGAGACTTGCTGCAGCAGGCTGCTGCTTGTTGTGTTGATGTACCATAAGTGACTTGCCACAGCTCACAAGGAGTTGAATCCAGAGCTCCCAAATCCCAGGACAAAATTGCTCTATTTTTTCAAGCTGTCCTACTTTTCTTCCCTGATATTATTTTTGCTCTTGGTACCTTGATGCTCAGGGGGGGCATGGAAGGGGAAGGAGTTTTATCAAACCTTATCCCTCCCTTTCCTGCAGCAGAAAGCTGGATATAATCCATTGCATTTTTATTTTTTTAGTCTGTCATTTAATCTGCTATACAGAGCCATTAGCCTCCTGGTTGGATTTTTTGGGAAGCAAGGCAATAGTCACTTTATGTTAATGGATACCTTGATTATTTGTTCTGGGATGGAGGTTTGTGCTTGGTTTAAATTAAGAAGAGCCACGGCAGTAAGTTAAAACTTAACATGAACCAAAGATGTTCTCTTCACTAAATGAGACAGAAAATGCATAACTGCTTATGTGCTGAGTTCTTCTACCATGTTCTAGCCCTTCATAACTGAAGAAGTTGGCAGTGTGAGAGAGGGACCTTTCCTTAATATCTATGAATCTATAAAATATCTTCCCTACTAATTATGAAGCCATCTCATAGGATTCAGTACTTAATTTGAAATTCAAAGCAATTCAAGACAAAGATTTGAACTAAATCTCTGATTAGAAGAAGGATCCCAATAATATCACATTTGGTAAAGGGAGACTCACACCTGAGACCTGAATGTTAACTCTTATTTTATAGTAATTAAGATGGAATTTAATGCAGAATTATTTCATTGATACACCATGGCCATTGAGTTTCACTATCTTTTGTAGTTAAATATTTTTATAACTCTTGTCACCAACAAAATGAAGCTTGCATGGTGCAGTTCAGGAGAAGTGGTAAATCTATGTTCCTGATTCTGTATTGTATTTCTGTATTTGGTCATGGCTCTGATTTTCAGGAAGCAAGCTAGCATGCAGGTAGCACCATTGAAGTCAATGAGACTCTGGTTATCTCCACTGCAATCACAGGGTGTAATTGCAGCATGTGTAGACATACCCAAGCTAGCTCAGGTACTGGAGCGGTGAAGCTGCAGCAGCATGTGCTTCAGTGCAGGCTAGACACCTGAGTAATTACCCGGGCTTCAGGGTGGGCTTGTACAGCCTGCACTGGTACCACAGCTAGCTAGATTAAAGCTAGCTCCGGCAAGTCTACGCCCTGGTCTACACTAGGAGCTGAGGTCGAATTTAGTAGCGTTGAATCGATTTAACCCTGCACCCATCCACATGACGAAGCCCTTTTTTTCAACGTATAGGGCTCTGAAAAGCGATTTCCTTACTCCACCCCGGACAAAGGGATTAGCGCTGAAATCGGCCTTGCCGGGTCGAATTTGGGGTACTGTGGATGCAATTAGACGGTATTGGCCTCCGGGAGCTATCCCAGAGTGCTCCATTGTGACCGCTCTGGACAGCACTCTCAACTCAGATGCACTGGCCAGGTAGACAGGAAAAGGCCTGCGAACTTTTGAATTTCAATTTCCTGTTTGGCCAGCGTGGCAAGCTGCAGGTGAGTGCAGAGCTCATCAGCGGAGGTGACCATGCAGAGCTCATCAGCAGAGGTGACCATGATGGAGTCCCAGAATCGCAAAAGAGCTCCAGCATGGACCGAACGGGAGGTACGGGCTCTGATCACTGTATGGGGAGAGGAATCTGTGCTATCAGACCAGCCTCCTGGACCCGCCAGGTGGAGAAGGGACCTCTGGTGAGTGTACCTTTTAAAATAGTATACATAGTTTAAAAGCAAGCACGTTTAATGATTAATTTGCACTGGCATTTGCAGCTCTCCTGGATGTACTCCCAAAGCCTTTGCAAAAGGTTTCTGGGGAGGGCAGCCTTATTCCATCCACCGTGGTAGGACACTTTACCACTCCAGGCCAGTAGCATGTACTCGGGAATCATTGTAGAACAAAGCATTGCAGTGTATGTTTGCTGGCATTCAAACAATATCCGTTCTTTATCTCTCTGTGTTATCCTTAGGAGAGTGATATCATTCAGGGTCACCTGGTTGAAATAGGGTGCTTTTCTTAAGGGGACATTCAGAGGTGCCCGTTCCTGCTGGGCTGTTTGCCTGTGGCTGAACAGAAATGTTCCCTGCTGTTAGCCATGGGGAGCAGGGAGGGGCTAGCCACATGGTGGGGGGAGGCAAAATGTGATCTTGGAACGAAAGCACATGTGCTATGTATGTAATGTTACCAGCAAGGTTTACCATGAAAGAGTGTACCCATTGTTCTATAAAATGTGTCTTTTTAAATACCACTGTCCCTTTTTTTTCTCCACCAGCTGCATGTGTTTCAAGGATCATAGGATCTTTTCCTTCCCAGAGGCTAGTGAAGATTAGAAGGCGAAAAAAACACACTCGCAATGAAATGTTCTCTGAGATCATGCTGTCCTCCCACACTGACAGAGCACAGATGAATGCGTGGAGGCAGACAATGTCAGAGTGCAGGAAAGCACAAAATGACCGGGAGGAGAGGTGGTGGGCTGAGGAGAGTAAGTGGCAGGCTGAAGAAAGGGCTGAAGCTGAAAGGGGTGGCAGCGTGATGAGAGGAGGCAGGATTCAATGCTGAGGCTGCTGGAGGATCAAACTAGTATGCTCCAGCATATGGTTGAGCTACAGGAAAGGCAGCTGGAGCACAGACCGCCGCTACAGCCCCTGTGTAACCAACCGCCCTCCTCCCCAAGTTCCATAGCCTCCTCACCCAGATGCCCAAGAACGTGGTGGGGGGACCTCCGGCCACGCAGCCACTCCACCCCAAAGGATTGCCTAAGCAACAGAAGGCTGGCATTCAATAAGTTTTAACGTTTTAAACTTTTAAAGTGCTGTGTGGCCTTGTCCTTCCCTCCTCCACCACCTCCCGGTGCTTCTCTCCTCCACCACCCCTCCCGGGCTACCTTGGCAGTTATCCCCCTATTTGTGTGATGAATTAATAAAGAATGCATGAATGTGAAGTAACAATGACTTTATTGCCTCTGCAAGCGGTGATCGAAGGGAGGAGGGGAGGGTGGTTAGCTTACATGGAAGTAGAGTGAACCAAGGGGCGAGGGGTTTCATCAGGGAGAAACACACAGAACTTTCACACCGTGGCCTGGCCAGTCATGAAACTGGTTTCCAAAGCTTCTCTGATGCGCACTGCGCCCTCCTGTGCTCTTCTAACTGCCCTGGTGTCTGGCTGCGCGTAACCAGCGGCCAGGCAATTTGCCTCAACCTACCACCCCACCATAAATGTCTCCCCCTTACGCACACAGCAAGCAGTAATAACAGTGGGAATATTGGTTTCGCTGAGGTCTAACCAAGTCAGTAAACTGCGCCAGCGTGCTTTTAAATTGTCCAAATGCACATTCTACCACCATTCTGCACTTGCTCAGCCTATAGTTGAACAGCTCCTGACTACTGTCCAGACTGCCTGTGTACGGCTTCATGAGCCATGGCATTAAGGGGTAGGCTGGGTCCCCAAGGATAACTATAGGCATTTCAACATCCCCAACGGTTATTTTCTGGTCTGGGAATAAAGTCCCTTCCTGCAGCTTTTGAAACAGACCAGAGTTCCTGAAGATGCGAGCATCATGTACCTTTCCCGGCCATCCCACATTGATGTTGGTGAAACGTCCCTTGTGATCCACCAGTGCTTGCAGCACTATTGAAAAGTACCCCTTGCGTTTTATGTACTCGCCGGCTTGGTGCTCCGGTGCCAAGATAGGGATATGGGTTCCGTCTATGGCCCCACCACAGTTAGGGAATCCCATTGCAGCAAAGCCATCCACTATGACCTGCACATTTCCCAAGGTCACTACCCTTGATATCAGCAGACCTTTGATTGGCATCTGCACAGAAAAAAGGCACGGAACGATTGTCTGCCGTTGCTCTGATTTTTGTAGATGGGATTATTGGGAAGACTTTGTTATGGGTTCTGGTTCTATTCTCACTGGAGTAATTTTTTTTAAATACCTGCAATCCAATCATTCCGAGGGCCACGAAAGAGTGCTCTTTAGACACAGGTGTGGACCATATGTGCACTTTTCATTGTCGTGGTTTGATTTCATTCTTATCTGGCACGATTACTACTTTACCAAACACCAATTTCCTATCAACTTTCTTTATACATTTAGGGCCTGATGCAAAGCTGAGTGCAGTCACTAGGAGTCTTTTTCCACTGAGGTGTGGATGGGACCTCTTTTCTCCCAGTCTAGAAAACAGTACCTCCCTCCTCCCATTAGCACTTCTACATACACATTTTTGTGACAAACCAGAACCCCTGATCTTGCAGATAGGAAGCTGTTTTCTTGCAGCAGTGCAGGCATGCATTTAGGGATATTAGTCTTTTAAAAGGTTTTAGCAGAAGAGCACTGAAGACTCATTCTACTCCAGTGTAATATAAATAGGTCTGTGATGACACCTGGGAACAGGGAAGTGGCACAAATTTATACTCCCAGATAAGCCTCCATTAAGCTGTCAAATGGGCACCTGTGTCCATCACAGCTAGTGGAGTGTCTTTTTAGATCAAGGACCAAATTCAAGCCTAGTTCAAACAGATATTGCATTGAATTCAATGGAGTTGTACCAGCTTTCTCCAGGTACCAGAGAATTTGCCCTCAAGAGAAGTCTTTAGTCTAAATGGAAACTCAATTATTGACCCTTCATTTTGCATTTGCATATCAAAGTAATGAAAACTGCTGGTCTTAACCCTACCCTTCACCCCAGTCCATATCCCCCTTCCCAGACAATACCTGTGATGGCTAACTGTGTCACAAAAAAGGTCATTCGGGATTTCCTCTTCCTCTTCCAGGTAGAGAGCAGCACACTGGAGTTTCCAGCAACTGTGACAATAAAGAGAATCCAAAGAGTAACCAGCTGTTCTGTCTGCATGGGGGGAAAAGAAACCACGCAAATGGATCAGTGAAAGTGACTTGGTTAAACAAGGTGATGCAGACTTAGCTATAACAAGCAGGATGGGAATTAATACAATGGGATTTAAATATGAGTTGACAATTGATTTGTCACTTAATCCCACAAGTCTATTTTTCATCAGAAAATAGTAAAATGCAGCAGTGTTTTTTAAAAAAAAACGGAACAGTGAAGTCCTGGTTTTAATTTGATAGCAGCTAAGTGTGTGGGGTGGGCGTAATAATTTCACAAAGCCATCAGAAGTACATCATCAAGTATCACTGAAATGTTTTAGCGTAGCAGCTGTGTTAGTCTGTATTCGCAAAAAGAAAAGGAGTACTTGTGGCACCTTAGAGACTAACAAATTTATTTGAGGATACACTGTAGCTCACGAAAGCTTATGCTCAAATAAATTTGTTAGTCTCTAAGGTGCCACAAGTACTCCTTATCACTGAAATGGGAAGCAACCTTCAATTTTCTTATGTTGCTCTAGTGGACCATTAAGTCTGTCTGACTACAGAAAAGAAATTTCCTTGAAGAAACTAGGGAAATAAAATGCTTTGCTTTCTAACCCAAGCAAGTATGGGTCATGCAAGTACATCATAAAAATCAACTAATTATGTAAGATGCGGGCACTAAGTCTAAAAAAAGAACATTGCCCTATGGTACTAGTGGAATCTTGCTGTTCAGCTAAATACATAATGGCAAAATGCCCCCAAGAGGTAGTATGTGTAAAAATAATAGAAATGAAAGAAAGGTTATTCAAATCTTTCAATACCTCAAAGATTGAGCAACAAAAGTGACGGAAGGGTGAGGGAGAGAGAAATGCTTGTGTATGCAATCTGTTTTTTTTTTAACCCATTTTCTCATGCTGAGATATGGATACAATTTCTGCACCCACCCCCACTTTTTAGTAAAATGTCTTTCAGTCACTGGGGAGCACAAAGATCATGTTTTCTTCCTTTAATGGCCATGCCTCTTAGTTTTAAGAAGCACTGAACCTGGTGTTTAATGGGATTAAAATGGAGAGCAGACATAGTATTTACACAAACAGTTCATTCACAAAAACCTTGCCACTTATGACATTGCCCATGACAAGTAGATTGTACTCCAAAGGAGGATTGCGCTGTTCTTTGATAGCTTCTCTTAATACACAGGCTGTTAACTGCAGTCCCATTCATACTGGAGTGAACTTTTCGTGGTATATAACTTGTCTGGTGGGAATGTATTGAAGGATCTTGAAGAAACAAGGGATTAAAATGTGGTGACAACAAAATATAGTGATCTAACCTTCCCCAGCCTCTCTACTCACACAATTCCCATTGTTACAAAAGTACAGCTGGTCCGGATTTTAACCCAAATGATAATGTTAAAATTCAGGCAGTTCTTAAGCAGTAGGACAAGTTGAGATTTGGTTTTTAACCTAGGCAAGAGAAAGAAAATGAAACACGGGTTTTCCTTTCCCCGAGTCACTAGCTGCAACCCCAGAACGAAGGGCACTGGCAGCTGGAAATGAGGTGATGAGCTGCAGATGAACGAAGAGCTGAACTTGTAGCCCCCTCTGGTGAGATTGAGGAACTGCTGGAGGGGAGGGGCTGCTCATTGCCTAGGCTGCAGGGTGGGGATGGGATACACGAGGTTGCTGCTAGTGTTAGTGGCTCTCCTGAATTGCTTGGTGGGAATGGGGACAGGAGAAGGTCTTCAGGAAAAAAGTTCTTTAAGCAGCACAGAGTAGAGGGGAAACATCTCTTTGACATACCTCTCTACACCACAGCTGAGCAGGGAGGAGCAAAGTGGGAAGTCAAGCCCTGATGACCACCGCCAGGAAGTACTCAGCCATGGGAGTGGAGATAGAAGTTTAGAAGGGAGCAAGGCCAGGTGCATCTCACTCCACGGAGCACTGCTACAAAAAAGGGGAAGTTTTGCTCCTTCTAAACTTGTGTCTTGGGGTTTGGCTTGCATCTTGTGTGTCTGAACTGATTCACTATTCACTAGATAGAACACAATAATCATAGGACTGCAATGGACCTTGAGAGGTCTTCTAGTCCAGTCAGTGGCTCCAGAACTGGGGGTGGAGGGGGGGGACATGGCACTCCCACTTTTTGCCAAGGCTGACCCTGCCCCCTTTCCCTCCGCTCCCCCCGAGGCCCCACCCCCCCAGCCAGGCCAGCGTGGAGCTCGGTCGGGGGGGGGAGCCTGGGCCTGGGGCTGAGAGCAGCCCCCGGCCTGTATCCCTGCCCCCAAGACTCTCCACCCAGCCCAAAGCAGGTGGAGGGTCCGTGAATCTGTGCCAGCTCCCCACAGCTGCCGGCATGGCTCTCCCTGACCCGGCTCCAGATGGGGAGGTGGGGGCAGTGCCACGGTCAGCTGTGGGGAGCCACGGACTCTCCACCTGGGCTGGGGGCCTGGGGACATGGGCCAGGGGCTGCTCTCAGCACCCTACGCCCACCCCTGGGTGAGGGGGTGGGTTCCCTGACCCTTCTCCAGCTTGGCAGGGGTCAGAGCCTCTGGGGGAGGAGGCGGGGCCTTTGCGGGCAGAGCTCCAGGGGGTGGGAGCCCCTGGCCCCCTCACCTTTGGGAAGGGTCCAGCAGCCCTGAGTCCTGTCGCCTACTTTTTAATTCCCTAGTTACTGTTTGGTTTCTTTATGGCTTGCCATGATGTTTGTTGGTGAAAAGTAACCTTTACATATTAGTTCACATTTGTCACTGAGGACAAGAGATTGCCACAAGGGGTGAGTTCAGGATAGTGTTTCTTGCTGGGAACTGATATGAACTATGAATGAGACTGTCTGCCACATGAACTATGAATGAGACTGTCCCTTTCAGTGGTGCAAGTCAGGAATATTTCCTCAGAAATCAATGACGTTATGCTGGTGACTGTGAGAGCAGAATCAGGGCCTTTGTTACTAAAATCTTCTTGAGGTTTTGCCAAAAGAAATAAATGTGGATTTGAAGATAGAGGGGCCCGTTCATCTGGAGTACAAAACTCATTGAGCATAAGAAGAACAAATGCCATATAAATCCTATCCTGCTTAATTAAGGAGCAATACCTGATTGTTTGTAATTCAGTATTCTATGGAAATGGACAACAGAACTACCCACACACAGATAATAACTCAGTTAAATGAAAGATGAATACAAGAGGGAATGTTTGCCTGATATTAAGATTACACAAAGGAATCAAATCAAGAAATAAAGCTTCTATTCTTCAGTCCAGCAGGGATTTACATCACTGAAAGAAAACAGAACAGGTACACTAATATGAATTAAGGGTCAACAATGTTCTCTTTTAATTATCATAGCCTTTGCAGGCTGACTTCAGCCTGCATTCAAAACTGCATCCCATTGACATCAGTGTGATCCAGGGAGGCATCTGGCTCTATGCTTACCATGCTAATGATGTATAAACATAGACGCTTTTCATGTAATTCACTTGTTTGCTTTTTAACAAAAATACTTGTACAGCAACTTCTGGCTAAGATTCTGAAACTTATTCACGCATCGCATAAATGGTCTCCATTAAAAATTAATTATTTCCCAACAGATGTCAATTACTACTTATTCTTCCAAAAAAAAGGGGCGGGGGTTGGAGGGGCTGTCTCCCATACCACAGCATGACAACTCTTGGCAAATGGTGATTTTGTAAAAGGTGACTGCTGTAATTAATCTGCACATCACTTTGAGGTAGGTATGTATTATCAGCCACTGCTTACAGATGGGTACACAGATTAATTAAGTGACATGGCCAAGGTCACAAAACCAATCAGTGGTAAAGCTGAGCATGGCAGTCAGGAGCTCACGGACGTTTGTAATCTATTGTAACTACTACTGCTCTATGAGATGGAGTTAGAATGTGGCAGTATTTGTCACCTGAAGCTGCTATGAATATTTTGCTAATTTACTTTATGATTAAGAGCAACCTTTGCCCATGAACCAAATTAGAAAACTGCATCGGAAACAAGGGGGAACGCTGCAATTGGCCTTGTCCTGCATTTTGTATTCAGGCAAAATTCCATTTGACTTCAGGGAGTTTTGCCTGGATGAAGACTGCAGGACCAAGCCCCATATGGATCTCTGTGGTTATTTTGGAAGTATGTTAGCTCTTCCACTGTACAGCATTTGATTCTGCTCAGTGTGTTTTACAAGGGGGAGTAGGTATCATTATCCCCATTTTATACCTGGGGACACAGAAGTGAAGCGACTTGCCCAGGGACCCACAGCAGATCAGTGACAGAGCTGGGAGTAGAAGCCAGGGCTTCTGCCTGCCAGTCCGGTGACCCACCCATTGAGCCAGGGTGCCTCTCAAAAGTAAAATGCATAACTTGATTACTCTAAGTTGCCTTTTGGTGATGCTCTAATTAAAATGAATGGTCTTCGCTCTATTTGCCCCCAGCATGGTCTAGGCAAAGGCAGTACATATAGTGTTGGAGAGCTGCTGCTTTTTCTCTAACACCTAAAACAGCGCATGGCCTTTTGTCTCACATAACAGATGTGACTGGAATAGAAAGACAGAAATAGCTATCAATAATAGATGTCAACAATTTCATTTTCACAATACCTAGATCAGAAGTACCACTCTGCTGTGTTTGGGTAGGACGGATGGTAAATGGGGACAACCTTACTCCAGCAAGATGATTTACCCATCCCCACCCCTCCTCATAGGCACCCTTCAGGAAAAGGATAACTTGTTCCATTTCTGAATGTCAGCAACTAAGCAGCATTTCTTTTTCCATATGTATCTTTTCATGTAGTGAGTGTTCAAGGAATAATTACATAATTTCTGCATTTTCGAAAATTAGCTAATAGAGATATACTGGATCAGTCGCTGGTTCATCTTACAGTTATGTTACCGATGTGTGAGTAAGTATAAGCAGGTCTGAAGTGTGTAGATTAGTATAAAGGAATTTAGCCCACACGTCACAACTGCACTTAACCTTAACCTGTAATGAAATTGTCAATCCTGGTTAACAAGTGCACTCAGA